TACGAATACGTACACATAGTTTGGTCACTTAATAATCATCCAATATGAATACATGTAATGACAGTTCATAAATTGTCCTTAGTGGTTACCATTCATTTATTCTTCACTAGGATATAACAGCTACATGATGGCTTTTAGTAATATAATTAATCGACTGAAAACGTACTACAGACCAAATAAGATGAATTAATCCTTGAATTTTGCTGCACCCCCTTTTTTACACATACTCGAGTGAAGTGGACATATTGTTCATCACTTGTAAGTTTGCACTCGTATTTGACAATCCACTTGCTTTTACAGCATTTGTTAAAGTTGTCAGCGCTTGCTTGTTTGTACATCCAACGGAAGCACAGAACCATCTCCATCTTGACAGAGCGAAATAGCCTTGGAGCGTATAATCTTTTGGTGCTAATTTCTTGCACACTTCTATCTGTGATTTTGGTAAACATGCGGCGGTAGATTGTTTGGGATTCTCGTCGTCAGTAATAAGTCCTTGTCGGAAAACATGCTCCCAGCGGTCGCTAAATTCCGTCGCAAGCTGGAGCAGATGATGGTCACTTAATGGGTATATTTGTTGATTTGTTTGTGCCATCAATATATTTTAGATACTGATATGTGCGATTTGACCAATTATTATCAAAGTGGTAAGCAGTCATTTAGTTCAACCTTGACCTGAAGAAATGAAAAGCCAAACTTTAAATTCGTTGCCAGGGCAACGACATAACTGTGCTGCCAGCAAGGTCACCTGATAGTTATTTGGTTAGGTCAAAAACGCAATTGACCGTTCGAAATTCGACACAACATATTCTTCATTAAATATTTTTTCCGCTGATGGATATGTTTTGATCGGCAGCATTTCTTATGCAGCACTGTAAAATACATCTCCGGAAGACTGTAAATTAATGTAAGTTTCAGAGACTAATTTGGTTTCTTCTGTCAATGGGATGAGGGTTACCTTCAGGTACGAAAACCATTTTTAGAAGTTCTGTGTGGATGCAAATGAAAACCGATCCGTGTGTAGGATCCATTTTAAATGTTTTGTGTGTGAAAATCCCTCCATGTTTACACTTGAAATTTGTTCCTATTAGTTCCTTTCGTTGTACATTGTTAGCATTTTTGATTCTATTTGAGTTGTTAATATTTGTATTTTATAATAGTTTTTATTTTTCTTACGCCTTCACTAAGTTTCCGTGTTTTTTCTTGAACTGCATTTATGTCGTTTTACTTCAGACTTAGTCTTGGCGACAGCCATATTGGTTTGTTCCTCATTTTGATTGCGTTGCTTGTATTGACCTGAAATTGTGCATTTTTGATTGTTAATTGAGGCAGTCTTCCAGAATTGGAAACACTGTGTTATAAAGCAACCGAATTTTATCTTTTGTACAAATCTGTGCGTGTCTTATTCAGGCAGGATAGAACATTTATTTGTTGTGACTGGTAATTTTCTCGCATTCGTTATCAGCTTCCTTATTTATTGTTATTTAAATTTGATTAACTGAACAATTATTGATTGGATAGCTAGGTGGTCATATTAGTTTAGGTAACGATGTACATTTAAATTTATGATGAATTATAGAACCGCTTTTTACCAAATTACATTGTTTTGGCTTCATTCGGGCAAGTGCGCGTATCTAACCCACCTAAATAGCTATTCTTCAGTCCAAACCTTAGTTTTGATCTTACACCGTGTACACACTTTCGTAAAGCAACTTGTTTCTTTACTTATATATATGAATTCATATTTGATGATTCTTTCGTTTGCGCATTTCGTCGAACTTTTGATTGTAGATGGGACAGTTGCTATCTGTACTTTGTTGTAATTTTTGCTTTTCGATGTTTATAATGAGTTTCTATGATCCTCACTAACTATACCAACGTTGCTTTCCGTGGAATTTTCGTTGTGATGGCTGTTGTGCTAATCACATAGCGGCAAACAAGTCATGGAAATAATCTCCTCCGTAAGTCTTCGGCATCGATACTGATCTAATCAATTATGCTGGACACACCCTAGCTGTAGGAGTTCGGTCACCCAGACTACCATTTGGTACTCCATGATAAAATCCTTTGTGACAACTAACGAACTTAGATAGGAAACCTCTCAACATAACAAATAATTTACAAATATACCTTTGGACTTCTAGTGACCTACTTTTATCGAAAGAACACGATTGGTGTAATGGAAACAATTATGATCATAACAAATCGTGCCAGGAGTTGTTTTACCGTACTTGTTCATTTAACTGTACCAAAATACATACATTCTTCCTTTGATTGTGACATTGCAAGGATTCGATTGCGCTCACTAACTACACTTGCAGCACGGCACGATCTCGGTTGAAACCAAATTGCCGATATCAATCATTTGGTGGCGGTCACTTCGTTGGCCACTTTCTGGAGCAGAACAGGTAATTGGTGGTTAAACTCATCCTTGATTGCATCCGGGCTGCAATCTGTCGGCGCATAGGCGGAGGTGACAAAAAGACATCGTTTGTCATGCCGATTTCTTCTCAATTTGATGGAACTCTCTAATCTAACAGCACATAACCAACTGTTAATGGGGATCCAATCGATTAGTGCTGCCTCATATCTAGCGCAAAGTGCGACACCAACGCCAGGAAGACTAGAAGAAGATGCCACAGGGTCCCCGGATAAACGCATATAAAACAAGCTTTTTGAATCGACAGACGGAGAGCGAATTATTAGTACTTCAGGAGAGTCTTGAATACTGGTCTCGGATAGACAACAAACATCGGTATTAAGACTTCCTAAGGACATAGCCAGCCCTAACTGTCGTTGAACCTGCACAAGTGTGCGAAATTTGAAGGCAGCCAGTTTGAATGGTGCACGTGGTTTCAGAAAAACTACTTCAGAATTCGTGTTTGGTTGCAACATACAATTTTCAAGCAGGCAGTGAATCGAGTAGGTTTAGACAGGACCGAGTTTTGACAATGGGCGAGCTGTTGTATAAATCGAAAAATAAGGACACACAGAATGGGAATAAAAGAGAGTGAATAAATTACGTTAAAAAATAATAACAATAAATGTAATAATAATAATGTGAATCGTTTGATTGTTAATCGAAGCAAGAACAGTATTTTCCGCAAGTATCGTTATTTCATAATATTTGTGTGTAATCTGTGATATTGCCCGGGTGCCCAGACCGAAGCAGGTGGTTTTCTCAGGGGCCACAGCCCAAGATTTTGACCTAAAGATCTGACCCACAAGGCAATGGAGATTCGTGGGAAGATGCAGCCCCATTGTAAGCGGTGACCAACGATTCGTTCATACGCCATTTGTCCCCACAGGATCCGGTTAAAGCGCAGGACATTCGCTTTTCGTCCCCTCATTTTCGTAAACAACATCTCCGCCACGAGAAGGCAGTGAGCAGGAGTTCCCCGGCAGAGGCTGTATATGCGTGGCGATGTGGGAGCATTTCGAGGGGGAGAGCGAGCACACCCCACTCTCGGCCGTACCAGGGTATTTGGGGGCATTAGATTAATAACCATAAAGTTGATTGATTTCGACTTAAAACTAAATAAGTTAGAGAGTTATAGCACACCAGTTTCACAATGCTGGGTTGCGATTGTAATCTGGGCGAAATAAACAATTTAATAATACCAGCTGCATTCCAATTTCGGAAAAGCGAATCTAAGTAAGTTTTGAGGATGACAATCAAGGAAGTTCATGCCGTCGGGGTGAACAAGTTAATCTTTAGCCCTCTTTTAAAAAAATACAAATTAAGTTTTTACGTATAGTCATTTCACGACTTGAGTTCTAAATAAAAATCTGACCCTGTGGCTCATTTTCGGGTGAGAATTTGAATTTTTTCATTCATTTATAATAAAGGGTTAAGCGCTGTTTGACATCGAAAATGCATATGCATGAAACGTGCTCAAAGAAGAACGACTAAAAAGTACTCCAAATAAAACCTAAGCACTACTCAGGTTATCTGGAACTTCTTAACTGATAGCCAACACAGAAAGGGATGGTTGATTGGCATATGACCATGAGTTACCATGGTTTTTGCAATTCTTTCTGTTCAAACAGACAACTTAAACGTTTCATCATTAGGTTACTACTCAAGATAGGACATCAAAAGTATTGGGGAAAATTCTGTGCATATTTTTCCATAGTTTGATTCATTAATATATGTTATTCAGTCCTGGAAGCTATATCAACAGTATGTTGTGCAAACAGGCTTCAACGTTCGCTTAATCAGCATTGAATTCTACTACCTTAGGTGCTACTCAGTTATTTCCGTTAATAATTAACTTATTAAGTCTTCCCACTTCAAGAGGAAACTATACCTCCATGACCAAAAACGATGTCAAACTTCTAGATGTCGTTCGCAAGAAAGGGACAGATCTCTCTAATTCTATTCACCAGATTTTGATCCCACTATAGAAATGTATAGAGGTGGATCCTTTCTTGCGATCAACGCAAGAGTCTCAACAAACAGGGCTACCATGAGCCTCCTAACAAATATTCATGCAACGATACTGAAAAATTGTTTGCGATGGATCCCAGCAAAAGAGATTATTCAAGATATAACAGTACGCAATGTTACAGTTATATTTCAAAAAGAATTAACTCTACAAACCTAAGTGTCTGGTTATGAGCAAAGGTAACAAATTACATTTACAATATAGATGGTATATCAAATAACAAAATGATAACAGTTATTATGAAATGAATGTTACTTGCATGTTGTTCTCCGAGATAACAACTACATGTGAGTTCACTTGATTAAAAAACATTCTTATTCGAGTGATGGCACCAATGGCGTAATGCGAAAGATTAAATCCGACAGTCTTATTTCATAAAGATCCGGAGCGAAACACCAGTGTAGTGTGGGAAGGCCTAAAAGTGTGTTATAAAGTTATTATAATCTTAAGTAAAAGTCACTGGCCAATGAAGCAGAAGAACAGACGACCGAGAAGACGTTTATATTTCAAAAGCCGCGGTAGTGCGCGTATATATCCAAACAATTATATGCGTTTCTTTACCCTCCATACAGATAAACAGTAGGAATTAGATATAAATGTGGTTACACATAAAGTGAGATAAATAGGGAAAAATTTGCTTTTTATTTTGTCATTACAAAGTCGTCGAATATACATATCACAATACGTTTAAATCAATGCACTATAGTAACACAAAGAGTGGTAACCGTTGAAAAATCAACGAAGTCATCACAAATCTGGGATAACAAAGTGAATTTTTAACCTCACAGACAACAGTATACTTTATTTTCGATGCTTTCAACAAATGTGATTTGTAAGACCAGTCCTGTTTGCATATCAGAAGAACTAAGACGTAAATCTTTGCGAGATTTAATAAACTCTTAATTAAGGATTGGGGAGGAAACATTTTAATCAGGCACATAAGAGGACTTCATTATTCGGTTCAGAAAACGAGCCACAATATTTTGAGAACCCATTTAGAGAAAATACCGGTTATCCGATTTATAAGTGTCTTAAGACGAACAATTGCTTCACTGACGGAATCGCGGACAAACAATCTGCTTCATTTAGTCAGACCAGACAAGTAAATTGCTGAAACAATCCCCTGTAAATACTTATATTCTTTAGGTGGATAATACCAGTGTAAAACATTTCCCAAAACAAATAATCCGTGAATCTGAACATGTAACATAAAATCGTTTGTGACAAATATTTAGACTGATTCCTGTGATGTTATTGGAAGTGAAATTTCAGGGTTTATGGAAGGCACTCATGAAACGGCATCCACAAATGTCTTGCAATCGAGAGAAGGTTAGTAGTATTTCATTTGGTTCAAATTAAAAATAGAGGACAATGAATACACAAATTCTCAGGAAACTAAAAATTTAGATGAAAATTCTCAAAGTCATGCCGACGAAGTAAGTCTTGATATTGTGTTGATGAAATTTACACTTGAAAGCTCATGGCACAAAGAGTGCTCTAGATATTGAACAAAATGACGTATCAGGCCAGAAATTCTAGATAATGGATGCCACAATGGTAAACTCCGACTCTAAGACTGACTTTTCGGATCAAAGATAAGAGCGAAATATACCATTACCAAACTCGCCTTTAAATAGAGGGAAATTAAGAATGTTTTGCATAGTTAGCACCAAGTTGAAACGTATTTAGCTTAGATATATTGGGTATAGAGATTTAAATGTAACTCTAGGAAAGCCATTTAAGTAAACTAAACGTGAAATTTGTAAGATGATAAGTGGATCAATAGTCAATTTGTATTTGAAATACCCAAAGAGTAGAAGGAGTAAGAACTTGTATTGCGTATGTGATGATACACAACAATTGTGATTTTCGTTGGATGTTAGAGAGAAAATAAGTAACAACCCCTGGGTGTTTATTTGAATATTGGGCACATAATTGGATGTAAATCTAAGCATTACATTAATTTTTTTTAGAAAACAGAGAACGACAAGGTAGATTACCTGATTCAAGCCGCCGAGGAAAGGGCCAAAAGAAGAGAACTTGATAAGCAAAACAGTAGTGAAAACCATCTGTTGTTTGATGCGTTGCAGAAACCCAAAAGAAATTCAGAATATCAAAGAGGACTATTAAACGCGCCGTGGTATACTAATCCAGAAGAAGGAATAAGTTCTGAAGATGTGCAAAGATATTACTCAAAGTCTGTGAAACCAGTATTAAACTCCTTACAGAAAATTTCAAAATCTAAAAGTACAACACAACAAGACTTCCCAAAGTACTCCTTACAAGAGCTAAAGGTGAGTAAATTAAGTTGTAGGAACTGGTAAAGGACGTACTTTTTTAATTTCACTTACGCCTGTTACTTCCAATAGGGCATAGACCGCCAACCATCATGATAAAGGATGTGCATTATTATAAATACTAAAGATATGTGAAGATTAGCCTGTCTAGCTCGGCTAACGGTTTAATCTTTTAAAGGTCACAATTTCCATATTTCGGGATTTCTTCCAGGCCTGGGGGAATTTTGTGCCATTTTTCTATTTCGGCTTCCCAAAAACGGACAAAATTTTCCCCACAATAGGGAGATCGGGGCGCCATCACTGGCAATTTTAACCGAAATTTAAATGAAATTGTGCATGGACACACATAGTAAGAAGTTCTATGTAATTTTTATGATTGTTTGACATGGGTATGTAGCCTATCGGATGGGACAGCCCAGTGTATTTCTAACACCTATGTTGTTTATGAATTAATTTGTGATGTAAGCAGTCGCTTGTTCATGCTTAGTGGATTGCTTTCTTTACTTTTCAAAAACAAAGTACTGACGATTCTTATTTTGGGCCTGTATTGCTAAACCAGCTGTTATATTCTATAATAGTATCTGTATTAACAGTTGATCATATATACCGATGTGACCCCACTAAGCCTACCTACCATTTGAGTGCACGTTATAAATCTATAATCGCAAGAAGAAATACATGTGAATAAATTGTTCCAAGGTTTTTAAAATTTAACTTAATAACCCATACATCAGTTCGTTCGAATGATAAAAAATAAACGTATGCCTATTTGTGATTGATCGTACCTTATAAATCTGCTGATGATAGTACTTGTGTAGTTTACATCTAACTTCATATGTAAAGGAGCTGATTTCATAGCAGTGTCTTTCGTTAAGAATGCAGAAAAACAAAGAAACTACTTATTTATAACTTGATATAACAGAATGTTGTGCAAAGCTACTTTACCTTAAGCTGTAGAACATTTAAAGTGCTCTTTATTTACTTCTAACTTCCCAGGAATGCAGGCAAAAAAATTATAATGGAAATAGAGAGTCATTGGACTGGCCTTTCAGTGAGACAAATGGTAGCATTAAAAAAGATGAACTGGAAGGATCATACTACCATAGGTCCTCAGCAGTAATTGGACAAGGTTTTCTGGAGAAATTCGGTCCAAAATCACCATCTCTAAACAAAAAACTGACGGTGAGTCAATGTACCACTAAATACGAAGTAGAAAACTATTTGACATAAAAAAACTTCTTAAGCCTCGTTTGTATGTCGCAAATATAAATAATGCAACACTAGATTATGAAGTCATCGAAGTCCGATCTAAACCAAAAGATAATCGTAAATAATCACTAGAAACAGTAGACAGTACGGTTTAAAGTTCAACACGGTTGGGTTTCCTGCTTGTACACCTTTAAATCTATACTGTTTTATGGTCTTTATACTACAATTTCAGTCACCGCTTCTATTGGTCATCTATCGAAATAATATGTAGATGAGGACAATATGCGGTCTTTAAGTAAGGCAGTGAGCATATTATTCCAAATTACGGAACATTTAACCAATGAGACCAACTATGAACGTAAACATACCGAGATCTAGTAGACTGATATTATGATGACTTGCGTTTTCAGTCTGATTTACTTATGAATCTTGCTTTTCATCTATTCCTTCTGCTATTTTGAGTTTAGACATCTTGGTTTGAGGCATTAGCTCTCCGACTTATTTTAGATTCTTAGGTTATGTCTGCATTACACACAATATCGAGCATAAGGAGAAAACAAACAAGTACTTGACTTTTTATTTGACACTTGTGTAGGTAGATCCGGATACATATCCCGAACCCCTTATTACCGATCTACAGATGGCTGAAAATTGTTCGGAATGCTGGGAATACACTCACTTTCGTTCTCGCTTAAATTTTGAGTTAGAAACCTACTTTTTTCTATACCTAATCATTCTCAGTACTAGTGATATTATTACATTTATTGATCTTTGCCTTGAAAACTTCACCTCGTAGTGCTAATGTTGTGACTCAAGGCAATGTACATATCTTAGACTTTACGTTGCAAATGACTAACTGAGATTACTACTTGTGATCTGAGTATATTGTAACCTTACCCATCGTCTGATGAGTAAGTTCAAAAAGACGTTTCCTGTCAAAACTTTTAGTGTACAACAATGTCAAATGAGTTTCTTTTTACGTTCGATTTTCATCCGGATAACCTCAATGTTTGTTTTGACACGATGTTCAATAATTGGCTAATAATGAGCAGCGCATTCACTAATCATATATTAATAAATTATGGATAGTTTACCTGTACTCTGGTTCTGATGAATGTAGGAATACTTTCATACCGTAGAACCAACTGAACTATGTAGATTATGTAAATAAAACGAATGTTATCCTAGTTTTTAATTAACGGTACTTTTATTCCAGAATGATTCACCAGTAGCAGCGTCTATGCTACGAAATAGCCCATATGCGTTTCATGGATAAATGGACTAAATGCTAAAACCAATTTTAAAATGTTCACAAATATTTTAAACTTTTTATTAGCTTGCTTCTATTATGAATGGTCGGTTCTTAAAACTCTTTCTATCATGTCATAATACAACCAAAATCATTAATTTATCTTATTTATTTCATGCAAAAGTTAATTCCAATTTTTGTAATATTTTAACATTATCATAGTACATTATTTCGTGACCGGTTTTAAAATAAATAAACTCATTTATCAGTAACATAAGAAAGGAAAATTGTAGAACCTTTCTATCATTAATCATTATTATTGTTATTATGACGATCATTGAATATTCACCATTAAAAATAACCTATGATTGAGATTTTTCCTTTTTCCTGCTAATACTTTACCTTAAAGCTAAATTCTAACTTTAAAAAAAGTGATATATTTTAAACATGTTTTCATCTATACGTAAAAAAGCATATATGCGTACTTTTCGAAGGTTGGTGTGAAGTCGTCCAGCGCTGTTGTTACTAAAGTTAGAGATTTCCGCAAAGACTACTAAATAATCGCAGTAGCTAGTGTGCCAACAATTCTGATGACGAATCGCCAAAAGCTAAGATATAGTTTCAAGTAAACAGCTTTCAAAATGTTTATGTACTTCTTTGGTAAACGTTTTAATAACAGGAGCTACCTCATAAACTCTTGGCCAACACAATCGACTGTCACATTCAGGTCAAGAAATACGACTGTAGTCAGACGTTCGTAATTAAAACCATGTTTTAAAACCGAAGGGTGAACATTTGATTAGCACATCTATGTTCAGGTTTGAAACGAATCTCGGTTTTGCAAGTTTTTTTGTTCATGAGACCTAGTAAAGCATCGTGGGGTTATTGAGGCTGATATTCTAGGCACTATGCTAGTCAAACTAATTTCTCTGTGGCTATCACAAGATAATTTTCGTACTCTCTTGTAAACTGAGACAGTCAGTGACATCAGAACACATACGGTCCCTAGAATTTAGCTATTGATTATAGTAAACATATCAGTATCGTTTTTTTTATTGAAATGTATCTATATTTTGTAACAATTTTCGTAAATTATCCGTATCCATGGGAATGAATATGAATTCCGTGCCATCAGGTCCCTGAAATGAAAATACAGATGTAGAAACATACAATACCATACCAAACATACCATGCATAGTTGATAGAAAATAATGAAGTCATAATGAAAAATGTTAACTTCTACATATTCCCATCACAGGAAACAATAAGCCTTCTGTTAGTTTCTATAAGAAGAGGTCTAACAGAGTTTTTAAGCATAATTAAACAAATTGTAATATTTTAAGAAATCAGTATGTTTATTGACTTATATAAGACACAGAAAGTTGTACGTGCTAATTTTCCGCATGTTATTAGCATGCAAAACTCCGCCTGTAGCTCTTCTAGAGTTACTACTGGTCCCAAGCCCGGGTAAAGGAGGAGGGTTGGGCATGGGGTTAGCGTCCCCATTCCGTAGAAAACTAACTCGCTAAAAAAACGCTTACTAGAAGAAAATAATTCAAACCATTTTTATTAGCATGCAAATTGGTAATTACGTATAACTTCAGTTATTAGGTGGAGAGTCGACGTTATCAAGAATACACAAATAACAAACACAACAACGTGAGGAAGCTTAAAATGTGTATCGCTTCAAGTTGCGAAATCGCCATCAGTATGAGACAATCCATATTTATATAAAGAGAAAGGATTTAAAACATTATCAACAGTAATCGAAAATAAAGATAAGAAAGCAACAGAATTGGATGGAAAATATGGAATACAACGATGTTCAAGAATGAATTCATTTGAACTAATCAGATTGCTTTAAAATCAACATTACCGAATATTTAGTCATAAATTACCGTTATACTATAAGATTCAAAAATAAAGACTTCACTTATCCATAAAATTTAGGTTAATAGTCAATGGTTTCATGAAGCAATGACACATTTTAGCATATTTATTCTTAACAATCCAGTTTTTATGCTAGTAAGCACTATTTCGGAGTAGTCGATGGCTACATATATATGCAATATTTCCCAACCGCTGTAGTCAATGGGGGTTCACAACCTTATCATGCGTCTTAGCACTTCCACTCAGTGCTGTCTATCTAATATGAACAATGCTCACTCGATGTAACTCCTTAACCAAGTGAAGGTCTAAGCCACACTATGTCTACGATTTATTGATACTGCCCGGCTACTCAAACTGAACTAACGGATATGAGTTTCAGACCCGGAATCTATTGTTTTAAACACAAATTCTCTAACCATTAAGCCATTGTTTGTCGATCAGTAATTTCAGCATATGTAGACAATGTTGGATAAATAAGACAACCATTTTTCTGCTTTAAGTGAATGAAAGTGTCTCGATGTAACAGACCAATCCTTGATAAATTATATGAAAAGGTTACAACTGGAAACACATCTACGATAAACATCAGTAAAATTAAGACAAAAGTGAACAACACAGACGGCTAATTCATGACACAACTAATTTAGACTGGGATCCTCTATAGATTGACTATAAGTGCCAAAAGAAAATAAGTGATGTACAAATTAAACATCACATCGATCGAACTAAATCGGATGAACAAAAAGACTTTAATTTGTGTAATAATTCGCGTGAACATTTAACAAACCATTTAGATGAATAGTTTACTGACTAATATATACCAAGCATTAAATCTTTTAAGCTTAAATATTGCATTAGTTTTTTTAAAAAATATCACGTAACAGGATACAATACGTCAGTAACACCGATAGAATGGTCATTTATTATTTCATATCGGAAAATGAGAATTCTTTTAATAGTGATTTCATACACAATTGGCACATTAATGCCAGTTAAATATTGAAATAAGTGAGTAAATTCATACAAGTTGTGTAACAGCTCCTCAACGACTTAAATCCACCATCCTTTGGAAACATGAATAACAGTAAAGCTTAACAGATATCAGTGAAGAATTACGTAGCTACTGGAACATATGCTATGCATTAAATAAGTTTCATTGATCACTACAATAAAAATGATTGAGAATACTGAATAATCGGGTGAAAAACAAGTTGAGAATAAGACTGACCTTCTTTATTTTAATTAATTTATGATCACGGAATTCAGTTAATTGAGCTTTCAAAGTTGTTTCATTACTTGTAAGAAAAGCATCACGACAACGCCAATATAAATCCTCCATAGCAATCCCTTTAATGTTAAAATAATAATAACACAAAATTAATTATACATACAGTTAAAGCGTAAATGAATAATTATTAACTTAGGTAAGTTGAAAATTTCGGTGAATGAAATCAATTGTTGATACATCCAACTAACGAGTCTTATATAGGATGAAACGCGAGTCTTAAATTTCACTGAAAGCTACATATTTATTTATTCTGTAAGATCAATTAATTACTGAATAAAGTTATTGTGTATCCATAAATTCATATGTATAATAGAATGTTATGTCCCGATAAGCATAATGAATGGTAACTTTTGGGATCCATTTATGGACTAATACTATGAGTATATATTTATCGTATAATTGTTATGTAACTAAACTATTCATATTCGTGTCCTTCTTATTATGAACTTTATTTTGACCTACAAATTATTATTATACGATTTCCCATTCTTGAATTATGCCCTGTCTATTGATTACTATCCCCCTCATTCACAGCCACATTTGGCTAATTCTTGTACAAATGATATTTCATATTTTATGGTACAGTGTGGTCTGTCTGGTTGATATATAAACCGAATATGTTTGGAATAAATGATTCATATTGCAGAGGCTGAGATTGGTGATCTGGACTTAACTGACTGGGCTAGGCAGGAAGCAGGATCGATAAGAAGTTTAGACTGCTCGTACGGGTTTATGCGTCACTGGTCCGATCGATGTCACTGCTCTTCAATTGGCGGTATCGTTACGTTATACATTAGCAGGGCGCACAGGCCACAAGTCATAACAAGAAATTATTCATAAAATCTCATATAAACCAGATTTTACTTACCATTTATAGCCCCTTTACCATCTTGAAATGGTGTTTCTAATTGATACTCTACAATCATACGAAATATATCACGAGCATTTTGTGTCAATGATGAAGCTACTTGGCGTAGACTAGCAAACATTGCACCAACACTTCCAGTAGTATCTGATCCACTTCCAATACCACCAAGAATATTCTGCAAAATTTGACTATTTGCAAAACTGCTTTCTTCTTTATAATTATAAAAATTAGTACAATCTTCCCAGATCCAAGAGAATCTAGCCAATTCATTATGAGACCATACTGTAAAAATATCATGAAGTAAAATCATTAGGCAGACAAACGACGGATAAATGTGTGGTATTTGTACTAACTAATAACTCCTTTGTACTGGATTGTACGCTTATCACGAATTACAGAAAATAATACGTCCAGTTGTGCTCATTTAGTTCTACCTGCCTCAAATTGCACTATTTCGGAAATTCTTAGCAAGTTAATTCTAATACTTCTAATCATCATAATATGATAATTACCTTTGAAAATATAAAATAATATGTTGGCAATACAAACTGATAACCTTCCTTCCATGGCATGAATATACTAGCAAAGGGTTTATTTTTAAAAGAATTAAGTTATTTATAACTGTCTGTGTACTACACTCAGTGTAAGCAGGCAGAATATTTTACTTAGAATCTCGGATTCTGACAGGTGAGGAAATATTGGAGATTCCCAAAACACCTCACTATTACCATTTAAAATAATGTTGAGAAGTTGATTCGTAGACTCGTCACCTCAAATGATGTATATTTGCTTTCACTTTTACTAAAACAACGTTTTCCCAATGTACACTTGGTACCCTGAGGTAATCAAACACAGGCTAAATGATGAGACATGGGAACAGTACTGGTCAAGATTTGGCTTCCCTTTCTGAGGAAACAGACATACACTGTTGGCTAAGAATGTGGCTTAATCTCCTGAGGGACATGTATTTATATTTACAAATGAGCTCTGCATATATTCTTGATTCTGCAATCCAATAGAAGTCTCATAAACACTCTTGGTTTTCTTGCTCAAGTAGCTATTTTAGACATGGATATAGGTAGTATTTGTTGTCAACATCAGAGTTGGACGACTGCACAACGTGACAGTGCTATCATCACGTTTATCATCCATTTTACTGAAAATGTAAACTTATTGTGAACATTGAAGGAAGATACAGCTAGCAATCAACTTCCCGATATGTAACATATTTGTGTAATTTTGCTGACAATAAAAAGTTTCGACGTATTCTTAATTGATTTGTTGTTGAACTACAACTAAGTTAGTTATTAAATTCATTCCTGACAAGGAAGTAGATATATGATTGTAAGCACGCTTTACTAAATGAAAAAAAACTTACAAAGAGGCATGTTAGCATG